CAGACCTCGGAAGCCGTCGCTTCGGGCCCAGCCCCAGCGGTAGCCGCCAATGCCGGCGATGCGACACCTCCAAGCGCACCTCAGAATGCAGACAGTACCGACGCACCGAGCGCGAGCAGCCCCCCTACAGGCGGCGATGAGTCGCCAGCACCTCAAGCAGATGCACAGGGTCGTCCGCTGCACCGCCGCCAGTCTTTCAACTCGTTTTTGCATTCTCACGCTGTGCCGTTCCAGCCTTCCGGTCACGCTGCGCCGATGGTGGATGCGAACGGAATCCCTACTGGCGTTCATGGACATTTTGCTGCCGGTCCGTCCAACTACCGTAGCAAGCCTCGAAGGGGCGGGGGCCCGTTCGGCGCACCTCGAAGCTTCCGCGAAGGTCGGCCACCGTGCACCTTTTTCCCTCAGGGAAGGTGCAGATACGGTGACAAGTGCCAGTTCCCGCATATCCTCCCAGATGGGACCGATGCCCGAGTCGCGGAGGCGCAACTTGGACAGCCCTCCCTTGCGCCGCAGGCGGCTCCTGCTGCCAAATTGCCAAAACATGCGCGAGTAAGTCCATCTACCTCAAGCTTGCCTACCCCGCCCACTGCAGCGGCTTCATCACCAACACTGGTCAACGTGCCTAGCGGTCCCCAGGTCAAGAAGCCGCCCACAAAGCCGAACGGGATCGCCAATGGAACAGTCGCTGATGATGCGGCGACGAGTTCTGAAGCCACCGCTGGACCTTCTGCTGGTGCAGCAGCAACACCACCTACGCGACCGACAGGTCCCAAGGCTGGTGTCAATGGCCAAAAGACCGGTGCCAATGGGAAAGCGAATGCAGGGACGGGTTCTCGAGCGAATGGTTTAGCTGGACCACCCAAGAAGCCTACTGCTCAGAAGTTGCCAAGCGCCAACGACTTCCCCGCCCTGCCATTCTCACCCAATCCTCAGCAGCCGCAAGCAGCCTCTCCTTCAGCACCGAACGGATCAGGAGCAGCGAAGTTCAACTTCTCTGCTGTGCTCTCTGCACCTGCGCCGCCAAAGCCGGTGCTAGCTCCCTCTGAGTCCGCGCCGGTCGTCGAAGCGACCCCCAAGGCGAACGAGGAGGAGAAGACCCAGAAGAGCAAAAGTAGTAAAGCAGAAAAGAAGCACCAACACAAGACTGCTTCTGGGGTCAACTCGACCGCCAAGACGGAACAGTCCAATGAGCCCAATGGCGATGCTCAGCCGGAAGATGGCTTCACCCTGGTAGGCCGTCGAATCGCATCTGCAGCCACCAACGTGTCTTCTCAGGTCTCGTCGCCGCCTACAGCCCCCGTGTCCGCTGCCAACAATGTGCCGGACAAT